AATTTCAAACAATGCTAACTAAATATTTATTGAGGGTGTGGGTGTGGATGTGGGTGTGGGTGTGGGGTGTGGGGGTGAGGGTGTGGGTGTGGGTGGATGTGGGGTGTCGGTGTGGGTGTGGGTGGGGTGTGGGTGGGGGTGTGAGTGTGGGTTTTAGGTGTTCTATTGTTTCATACGCATACTCACACACGCACCTACACCCATCTAGTAAATCACGTGGTGATATGTATCCTATTCAACCTTTACCTCCTCTTGTTGATGTCCCTTATGGTGGTGGACCAGGTTTAGGTACTCGCTATGCCATTCTGGCATTGTTCACTTCGACACGTGTAAGTTATGGTTTTTTTTCTTGTCATTTAATTTAATTTAATTTTTTTTAAATTTTATTTCATAAGTAATGTTACTTAATGAACTTGTTGGAATTATAATTGGACCACGTGGTACAAAAATTCAACAAATACGTCAATAACAAATGCAAATAAAATTATTGATGATCAAGCAATTCCTAGTGGTAATGGTGGTGGTGATAGAATAATAATAATTGAGGGAACATCAGAACACATTAGTCCTGCACAAGCACTTCTTCAACAAGCTGTTCGTCAATCTGGTCTTTGGCGACCATAATTTTCTTGTTTTGTTTCTTTTCTTCTTCTTTTTTGTCGGTCGATAGTGCGACATTACACTCATTTACATTTACATGTGTACTATGTTTTTAACTTACATTGCTTCATTTTCTTTTTATTTAAGTCCGTATTGCTTCTTTTTGTTTTGTTTTATTCATTCGTGTATACAGTAGGATGATGATGTTGATTGATCCATATGTTATTTATCTTATATGCTTTTTTTGTCCCTTTCTTTCGTTTTTGTATAGAATTTCACTCAGATCTGTTTATTTCTACACTGATAATAACACAAAGGATATGATAGATTTACATTTAGAAAATCATAATGGATTACATTTAATATTATTTAATAACTAGTATCGAAATTATGAATACTCGAGTATCATCATCTATTATATACTTATATTTTACATACAATATATGACAAGATTTAAAAATTGTTCTGTATTCTGTTAATATTATATGTTGTCTGTATTCATTGAAGATTTGTTGTCGGATTTATTAATATTTACTTTGTTTTCTTTTCTCTTCTTTTTGAAACATTCAATCATGTTCGTTTATTATCTATATGATAAACTAAGTCTTATTCATGAAGAAATTTGTTAAGTTATGGATATTAAGAATGCAACAAGAACAATCATTTATAGGTTCACCGATCTAAACCAATAGTCTTTTTGTCGGTAACTGGTATTCTTAAGGTTTTTCTTCATCCAATAAAATATTAGAGAATATCATGGTTATGTTTAGGAAAAATTGAGTTTTGAATTTCGACTCGAAACTTTGCATAGAGACATTATTTTTGTATATGAACGATGTTAAACATACATACTTTTACTATAGTTTTATTTTAAGATCGAAGCAATAAAAAGATCTGAATTTTTTTCTACAATAAATCGTTCTCATAAAACATAATTCTATCTCGATAGTACTATGACTTGTCCAAACATAACGAGGATTACTCTTTATTAATTATCTGAGAATATTTGAGAGTTAGAAAGTTTGTTCAAACGCTATTCGATACAACTTATTACACTCTATTTATGCTATAAGAATGACCTGTTTTTCAATCACTGAACAAACTAAGAAATATTTGACTTTTATCAATATTGATCCTTTCTACATGCATAATGGTTCTATACAAGATAAATCGGCTATTTTATAGTGAATTAAATTTTACGTCGAATGATATGTCATTCAACATTTAAAAAAAATTCCACTTAATAATATACATTGATCCGTTCAGGCATAGTCTTGACTCACAAACAATTTGCCACTATAGGAAATATTCCATTGTCAGATAAGATAAGAGCTATGTCGAAATCTGATTGGCTAGGAAAACAAAAGGGAGAAAATATTATTCGAGTCTAATTGGATAGAAAAATACCGGTGAGTATCAGTTATGAATATCGATTTATATCAAGTACTCGATGTTTTGTTATCGCCAATAGAAATGTAATTAGGAAATGTTTTTAATTAAGAACAGTGTTTTTGATTCAAGTCATTTGAATTCAGATGATAACGTAAAATCAAAAAAAGAAAAAAATTTATTTCTATACATTGTCGTCATTATACATTGGTAGTACAATATTTAAATAAGAAAAATTTCATTT